CACGAGAAACATGGCGATCTTGCTTCAGGAATCGATTGGTTAACTTCGCTTCATTTTCAGATTCTGGACGTTTAGGAATGATCCATGGTTTAGAATTCACTGGGATGCCCTGATCTATACAGAGCTGGCTTGTGGACTTCTTGAAAGCTCTTGTGCTGAAGGGCTCTCCAGTTCTTGGGTGATATCGACAGTCTTAGAATTGTGTGCCATCAACGTGCTGAAATTGTGGCATTTTATAGAGCAAGGTCTTTATGCTTAAACCAAACCCTAAATGTGGCAAATAATGAAATATATATGTTATTTGTAAATTAGGAGGTGTACCTCCCCTCGAATTGACAATCATAAATTAATTGTATACAACGCTGATTCGCAAGAAAAATCAAGTATCTTTACATTGCTCTAGTCTATGGCTCCAATCGAATAGTTTCTTTCTTCATCTTCCAGTGCTGGATGGAAACAGAGGTCTTTGTGGAGTGGGCATGAAGGAGCGGCCGCCACTGCTGCTGCCCTCCTCTGAATAGCCGTCAGCGCCACCGGCCTCGAGATCCACCCCCGCCCCGCCTAGCTCCGTCGCTCTCCTTCTCGCCAGCGACGCCTCCTGCCGCTGCTCGATGTACTTGCGCGTCCGGCACACATAGACCGCAAGAACCACTAAGGCAATCGCGAAGAACAGTCCCACCACGATCCCAGCGATCGCCTCGTGCGAGAGCGTGATCGTTTCCTTGCTGGATTTGGATTGCTCCAGTAGCCACCGTCGTCCAATCGACCCAATCGCTGGCTGGATCATCCGCTGGATCGATCCAGGAGCTTCATACCCGTATTGGGTGACCTCATAGGATGAATCTACACCGCTGCTACAACCGCCGCCTGGGATCCAGATCGCAAGCAGCAGGAATAGAGAAAGAAGAAGAAGAAGCAAGCCGCTCCTCTGGGTTGGCACTACCTCTCCGCCAAATAGCAACATTTTCGTGATCCTGCGTGTATAGGGATGTGTTCGCTGCCAAGATATCTATTTCTCGAGCTCTCAAGTATAATGGAAGTTTGGGCGATTTTATCATTTATATAGACTCTGTTGACCTACAATACATACGCGGATAACGCGACTAGTTCAAAGTCTTCTTGTGAATAGCGCGTCATACGTGGACTTTCGTGGCCTTTGACGCTTGTGCTTCGCCTAGACCTTGAAGTTGACAGAACTTTTCTTATGTGAATTTCTTCTTCCTAAACCCTAAATAATCAAAGTGATTTCATGGCAAGATCGCTTGTGATCTGCAAAGAAAGAAGGAATCTTTATAGATCAGTCTTCCTTGCCTCAAAAATCCACATTGCTTGCCGTGAGCTGAGATGCATTTCGACCAGCAGCTTAAAAGTTTTTAAGCCTAGAAGTTGGCGGGCGCAATTTTCATTATAGGTTGGAGGGCAAAGCGTGGAGGTGGATGATGACACAGACGAGCAGGATATAATCTCCAGCATTCTCCACCGTGCCAAGTACAAGGCTCCCAGCTGCCTCAAGGAACTCACTGTTGTGCTTGAGTATAGCAAGGATGGTGATGACCAGATGGAAGTTAGCAGTCACTGCTGTTGGCTCCCTCACAAAGCTCTCCCTCGAAGCTCTCCATGGGACCAATGGGGAGCAGCGTACTCCACCGCGATTCAAGAGCTCCACATCACTGGGAAACCATGTTGGGGGGTGTGGGATCTTGTTGGTGACACCTCCGGGCACAAATGATTTATTTGTGGGCACAAATGATTGTAACACAAATCAATCAGTAAGATTTAACAAAGAAAAAAAACCAAAGAAGAATAGTCAAGATCCACATGAAGAAATAGTTGTATTGTCTCCAGATTAACAAAGAAAAGAGACTGTCCATGGTCATCTTGTGTTCACTGTCAATTCATTGGAGCGCAAGCCTCAAAACATAGGTGAGACTGGGAGAGATTGGCGATGGCATCCACCTTCCAGTGTCCATATAACGCCAACTTACGAAGGTTGTCAAATCGCGTGTCCACAACGCAAGAGTTACACTGTTCAATACCTCTAGGTTCGGGCACGAAGCTAGCAGCATCTGGAGCAGGACGTAACATCTTTTTACACGAATCATCTTGAAAAGAGATCTAAGGCAAGAAAGAATCATGGCTGTCCACTCTTGATAGGAAAGATCAACGCAAAACACTCAAATGAAACGCAGACCACTACAACCCTGTCTTGGATTCGATCGAAAACCCATTGAGCCTCCATTGCCACATTTCCCATACATGTTGATCAAGCTACTGGCCACACGAGGATTGGATTGGAGCCATATCCTGTGTGGATGTGGATCCTCCTCCCTCTCTCCAAATCCCTGGCGCCGGTGCAGGATTTCATGCTGTCCTTGACTCTAACCATAAACTTTTCTCTCTATTTCAAAGAGGTGGGAGCGAGAGGACTCCAGTCTCCTCTCTATGTGGCGGTAGCTCCAGTGGAACCTGTGCAGAAAACTCACAAGGACGAGCATCAACATCGTGACTCGCAAAACCACAAGAGGTACCAATTCATCTTTCGTGAAACTTAGTAGTCATGCAGTTGATTTTCAATAAGAACTTGACAAAGATCAGGCATTGCTACTTCTCACGCGTGAAAAAATGCGACCAGGAAAAAAGAAGAGCAAGTCGAACAGCACCCGGTAGCATTCGTAGCTTGGCTTCAGTGCCAGGAGTTCCCAGTCCGCCACAACTTGGCGGCAGTGGATCACGATGTCTTCCACTTGATGTACTCCAAGTAAATCCTTGAGAACCATCACGGTGGGCGGTGTGGGATCTTGCACGTGAAGATGAACAGCCACATCCTTACGCTTGGTGACACCTCCAAGCTCCCTCAGTTAACAGCGAACATAAGATGACCATGGACAGTCTCTTCTCTTTGTTTGGCTTTGGAGACAATACATACTGACTGCTGTTCTCTTCAGGTTCGTTTTGTTTTTTTTGTCTTGTGTTTCTTGCTAATTGATCTATGTTGCAGTCATTTGTGCCTGGAGGTGTCACCAAGTGCAAGGATGTGACTGTTCATCTTCACGTGCAAGATCCCACACCGCCCACCGTGATGGTTCTCAAGGATTTACTTGGAGTTCATCAAGTAAAAGAGATTGTGGCTCACTGCAGCGAAGTTGTGGCGAACTGGGAACTTCTCTCACTGAAGCCACGCTACAAATGCTTCCAGAGTGCTGTTCGACTTTGGTCGCATTTCTTTTGCACGTGAGAACTGCATCACTGGCTTTATTAGTTAGCAATGCCTGAGCTTGGCAACGTATCACTTTTTGTAGTTTCTAAATCAAAGAAAACGTTGGCGAGCTTTTACCAAGTACTTCCAAGATTGTAATAGCTTCTAAAGAGGTGTGGATACTCTTCTTCGCTGGATATTTACTGCTAGTGAGAAAACAAAAGGGGAAAGGGCCTGATCTCTAGGGGTTGAGAGGGAAAGATGAGTGAATGAGTGTTATGTATTAATATGAAAACAATGAATGGAGATAAGGATCCACAACTCGGATTCCCCCCTTTAAAAGGCTGGCAGCATATGATAATGAATGGTATATGCTGTGCATGATCAAATCTAATGCAGCCTTGGGTTCAGGGTTAGAGTCCCCTGAGCCTGGGGTTTTGGTTAATACCCTTCATTGAGTTGTGAGCTTGCCTTTGCTGCACTATGAGCTTCACGACCAAGCAAACCACCTACGAACCTCCTCACCTCTAGCTTTGGTTTGTTGGGAAGTGGTTCACTTGGTTGTGGAGCTCGCAGTGCATGCATTGATCGAGGGCTTCAAACAATTTGCGGGTGCAATAGCTCAGATCACAGAGTTTATCCTTGTACTCCTTCCTGATCTCATTGTAATCACAGTGTACCTGACTCTATGGCTGAGGCATGGCTACTACTCCGTGATCCTGGTATTCCTTGCTAGGGTTCACTGTGTTCTTGGTCCTGTGATTTGAAGTTAATCTGTTCCGTTGGATGTGGGTGGCGTGGTTGGTCCAGATTCTTTGAGGTGGTGCATTTTGGATTGATGCTGGATGAACGGCCCAGATGTGGCACTGAAATTAATGTATCCGTTGGGGTTGAACGGCGCAAATCTTCCGCTTGAAATTTTGTTGAAGGGGTGCTGATGCTGCTCATGGCATTTGTTGGAGGAGGCATGGTTGCATGTTCTGCGAGTGATCAGCAAAGGTAGTCGATGTTTTCTTTCGTGGAGCATATTGAGGGGGTCAGGGCGGTAAAAATAACGTTCTCAGCTGGCCAGCTGACGTTTTCCTTTGGAGATGTTGAATTGTTGGTGAGAAGTTGTCAGTTTTGGGGCTGATTCAAGTGGATCTAATGCTAAAAAGCTATTTTATGCTTTGGTTTTTTTACTTCTTTGGTTCTTTTACTTCTTCAAAGTTTAATTTCATCCCTTTATTGAGTGTGGAAGCTGGTGTGAGTTGTCTTCATTGTCACTGATGATGAGGTGCTCTCAGAGCAGCGGCTTTTGAGCTGGATTCGCTGGTGTGTTGTGTGTGAGGTGGTGGCAAAGTGGAGTTGAATTGTTGAAGTGTTTATTGCTGGAGCTGGTGTTGCTGGAGTGAGTTGAGCCTGATTGTTAAGATGTTGGCTTCGGTTTCTTGCTGGGAGTTGCTCCTTCTGATCCTGACTGATCCTCGGAGCTGTCGCTTTGTTCTTCAGAGTTCATTTGGGTTGTCCACGGTTGCTTGTTGGGAAGAGCTTGGTGTAGAGCTACCAGCAGTGGGAACATTACTGTCTGCATGGTTTTCTTGTTGAGTGTGGTGAGGATGGCACGGTCGAGAAGCTTGAGAAGGAGCTCGTGGAGATGATGAGCCACGTTCACACATTTGCCGTCGAATAGAGCTCTGTAGACCTCTGCTGTGCGCTTGCTGATGGTGCGATCCGTTGGGCAAAGTTCGTAGTAGAGGAGGAGGGCTCACCAACAACTCAACATCTCCAAAGGAAAAGAGTTGTGATTTGTTTGTAAGGGCATTCTTATACACAAACTTCACTGGATTCTTCGTCTGTACAAGTTTTTCCTGCCAAAGAAACTTCTTCCACCCTTGCAGCGCACAGCGATAGAGCAGCCGCGGCTGGAGAAGAAGCCTCAAATTCTTTGATCAAGGCCTTGACGTCGTCTAGCTTTCCCGACCGGCAAACTCAGTCGAGGATGGAGCTGCAAGTGGTGGCGTCCGGCAGCATCCCCTTGGCCAGCACCACTCGCAGCAGCTCCATCGTCCCGGCCAAGTTCCCAGATCTGTGGAGACCACCGAAGCAAGCCGCGAAGGTGAACGAATCCGGCTGGTGGCCCTTGCCGACCATCTCCTCAAGAACAGTGATCGCCTGCTCGGTCTTCCCCGACTTCCACAGCCCGTCCACGAGGATGTTGTAAGTCACGGTGTCGGGATCCCAGCCAAAGCTCTTAAGCTTGCTCACGAGCTGGAGAGCGTCGTCGGTTCTCGAGGCCCGGCAGAGCGCGTAGACGAGCGAGCCGTAAGTCATGGATTCGGGCACGCAGCCGGAGCTCACCATCTCCTCCAGGAACTCGCAGGGCTCCTCGATCCGGCCCGACTTGCACAGGCCGTGGACAAGCACGTTGTAAGTCACCACGTTTGGAGGAACTCCGAGATTCCCCATGAGATCGAGGATGTCCCGCGCGGCCTCCACCTGTCCCGCCTTGCACAGCCCGTCGATGAGCGCGCCGAAAGTCATCACGTCCGGCTGCATGTTCTTGGCCACCATCTCCTCGAAGAGCGCGGACGCCTGCTCGAAGTTGCCGGCCTTGCAAGCCCCCGCGATGAGAATGTTGAAGGTGACTTTGTCAGGCACGAGCATCCGGTTGTAGACCTGGAGCGCTCTCGACACGTCCCCGAGCTTGGAAAGTCCGTTGATACAGCAGTTGAAAGCGTACGTGTCCGGGTCGGGCATGGCGTCGAGCAGCGCCTCGGCCTGACCCGCCCGCCCCGTCCGGAAGAGGCCATCGATCAAGGTGCAGTACGTGATCTTGTCCGGGGCCAGGCCGTGCTTGAGCGTCATGTCGTCGAACATCTGGAAGGCCTCGCCCGATCGGTCCGACTTGCAGAGTCCGTCGATGATCGAGTTGAAAGTCACCACGTTTGGCGTGCATCCCCGCGACGCCATGCCGTGGAGGAGCTCCAGAGCCTCGTCGACGCGGGAGGCCTTGCAAAAGGCGTCGACGAGTACGCTATAGGTGATCACGTCCGGGGTGACGCCCTTGTCCACCATGCTCTCGATCATGGCGTGGGCTCTCTCCATCTTGTCGGCCTTGCACAGCCCGTTCACGAGCGCGTTGTAAGTCACCACGTTTGGGACGTAGCCACCTGCGATCATGTCGTCGTTGCAAGCCTCGTCGGTCTGGCCACACTTGCACAGCCCGTCGATCAGCGTGCTGAAAGTCACGGTGTCTGGAGAGACTCTCAAGCTCCCATCTCGCAAGCTCCTCATCAGCTCGCACGCCTCGGCCGTCATGGACTGCTTGCAAAGCCCGTCGAGGAACGAGTTGTAAGTGATGATGTTTGGAAGAACGTCGCAGCTCTTCCGCGTCATCTCCTGGATGAGCTCTCGCGCCTCGTCGATCCGGCCGACCTTGCACAGCCCGTTGATGAGCACGCTGTAGGTGACGACGTTTGGGACGCAACCTCGAGAGCTCATGCCGCCATGGAGCCGCCGTGCCTCCTCCAGATCCCCGGCTTTGCACAAGCTGTCGATCAGCGTGTTGTAAGTCACCACGTCGGGGTGGTGGCCTCTCTTCACGAGCTCCTCGAAGAGCTCCATCCCTGCGCCAAGCTCGTTGCTCTTGCACAGCCCATTGATGATCGTGTTGTAAGTCACGATGGTGGGAGCTACGCCGTCGCGAGCCATCTCCCCGCGGAAGATCTCCAGCGCGCGGGCGGTCTCGCCGGCGCGGCACAGCGACTGGAGCACGATGTTGTAGTCCGCCACCGAGCGCGAGGAGCTCCGGACAAAAAAAAATTTCAGGGGACACAAATTTACTCTTTGAGTGTTGATGGTGGCGGTGGTGATTGGTACCAGTAGATTCGCGGCAGCAGTATGGTGGTGGGGATTTATACACATATGGTGGTGGTGGTGGTGGCGACTCATATTTATACGGTGGCGATGGAGGTGGGGACTGCAGTGGTGGTGGAGATGTGTACTTGTATGGAGCTGGCGATGGTGTACATTTCTCACATTTTGGTGGTGGTGGTGGTGGAGATTTGTACTCGCACGGAGGTGGCAATGGTGGAGACTTCTCGCATTTTGGTGGTGGTGGCGGTGGGGATTTCTCACATTTTGGCGGTGGTGGTGGCGGGAACTTCGGTGGTGGTGGTAGTGGTGGCAGCGGAGACTTGGGTGGCTGGGGAGGTGGAGATTTTTCACACTTTAGTGGAGGTGGTGGAGACTTGTAACGGTAAGGAGGTGGTGGCGATTCAACTGGCGGTGATGGAGATTTGTGATGGTGTGGTGGCGACTCAACCGGCGGTGGTGGTGATTCAACCGGTGGTGGTGGCGATTCCATCTGTGGTGGTGGGGATTTGTAACAGTAAGGAGGTGCATTAGGAGGGCACAAACGATTTGGAAACCACCAGGGTCTTCTCAGCCATGGCCTCCAACAGAAGAAATGATCGTGCTCTTGGGAATTCTAAAGCCAAAGTTCTTGGCATCTCCAAAAGCCCCTGCATTTCGATCCAAAACCTCCTGAGATCCATCACAACTGACAGTAGAAACCAGGAGAAGCAGCAAAAGCATGCTGCGTGACTTGAGGAAAATCATCACGTTCTCGATAGAGAACCAAGATCACTGGAAAGAGAGACCTTTTCTGTGATGCTACAAAAATTTCCAGGTTACCGTGTCCTATCCGCTTTCAAAATAGTAATGCTTTAGAAATTGATGGCTCTGTTTAATGTTTAGCAAAAGATTTGCAACGCGCGCCCGTCTCTCGCCTCCACTCTGACTTCGAGGTGCAGAGGAGCTGAAGGAGCGGCAGACCTGGACAACATTTTCGAGTGAGCATCCGGCTGCGTTCCGAGGATTTGAGCACAGCTTACTTTTACAACTCTTGTGTTGTTGACAAGCGATGAGACAATCTTCGTAAGATGGCGCTAATTGGACACTGGAAGAGGGATGCCATTGCCAAGCTCTCTCAGTTCTCACCTCTGGTCCCGATGCTCGCCCTCCACCGTTTTAACAGCGAACACAAGATGACCTCTTATCTAATTTGTTTGGCAACCTGGAGACTCTCTTCGGTTTTTTCCTTTTCTTTCTTGCTGATCGATCTGTGTTGCAGTCATTCGTGCCTGGAGGTGTCACCAAGCGCAAGGATGTGACTGTTCATCTCTACGTGTAAGATCCCACACCGCCCAACCTGATGGTTCTCAAGGATTTACTTGGAGTTCATCAAGTCGAAGAGATCGTGATTCACTGCAGCCAAGCTGTGGCGAACTGGGGACTGCTGGCGCTGAAGCCAGGCTACGAATGCTTCCAGGTGCTGTTCGACTTGCTCTTTGGTCGCATTTCTTTCGCACGAGAGAAACAGCATCATTGACTGTATTAGTGGCGATGCGTGATCTTTGTCAAGTTTTTATTGAACATCAACGTCATGACTAGCCTGGTATATTTGTAACACCTCGAGCCGCCGTTGACGCTGTAGGTGACGACGCGCTCATGTCGCCATGAAGAGCCGGGCCTGCTCGAGATCCCCCGCTTTGCACAAGCTATCGATCAGAGCTGGTTGTAAGTCGCCACGTCGGGGGATGGAGCGATCCCAATGTGAGCTACGCGGATTGGGCGCTCGCTTCCACGTCAGGGATTCTTCTCTTCCATCGCTCTTCCTCTCCTCCTCGCCATTCGTCCTCCTTGCGGCGCTCTGCGGCCTGCTTGTCGAAGTCTTTCCTGTAGGAATAATGATGAACACGACAAGCAGTCCGAATCGTGATCAGATCTCTGGTGATTTCCGATTTGATTGAAGTTGTATATATATATACAGCCATATATGAATCAGTGTGTGTTGAAGTGAAATCTGTTGTTCTTGCTCCGCTTTTCTTTCTTGGTATCGGAGCGCTGGTTTCTGAACTCTTTCTTCTCCTTTCTTTGTGCCTCACATCATGAGCTGCAGCAAAGTTGGATTGATCTTGCTTCAGGGAGTCACTGCCTTTGATGGGAGGAGAGGGTTCAACACTTGGTCCGAGAAAATGATGCGCGTGCTGCAGATGGAAGAACTCTGGGAAATCGTTTCACCACCAACAAGATGCTCGTACGCGGCGAGCCCCTGCTACGTTGGGAGCTTCAACTTCAGTGGAAGGAGAAGTCGTGGATGAAGAGGCAATTCGTGCCTCTGTTGCAGCAGCTCGACAACAGCTTGATCCAGGGGAACAAGCTGTGCTGGAGAAGAAGGAATCTCGAGCAAAAGGATTGATTCTTTCTAAGCTTGCAGATGCCCTTATGATGCGTTTGCGTCATAAGTGTGCTTGTGAGATCTGGGCTCATCTCCACAACAAGTATGCTGTTCTTTCCCTCTCCAAGATTAGCATGGTCGAGACTTGCATTCGTGAGACCCGTTTTCATCCAGGCGAGAACTTTGAAGAGTTCCTCGCCAAGATGCAAGATCTGTGGATGGAGCTTGAAGGCAGTCCAGCAGCGTTCAACGAAAGCAAGAAAGTTCTGGCACTTTGCGAGGCCATGCAAGATTCTTCTTTTAGTTCTTTCGTCCCTACCGTTCGCATGATGTCGCTCAACTTTGAACAAGCTGAGCAAACTTTACGCTCGGAGCTGGCTGCGAGAGGTTTGATTGTGGACTTTGATCAAAGGCCTTCCCATGTTTTGATCTCACAGTCTACAGCAAATGCTTCTGCATCAAGCAATCAGTCAGGGACTGATTCAGCTCTGTGGGCTGGAAATCATCGAAACAGAGGAGGCCGTGGAAGAGGAGGACGAGGCAGAGGTCGCGGGTTTAGGGGAAATCCGCAGCAGCAGCAGAATTCAGGGAATTCTGGTAAAGAAGCAGCAGTTCGGGATTGTTTTGTGGCCAAGAACAAACAGGAATGCTGGACCTGTGGGATGCCAAGGCACTACTCCAAGGATTGCCCAGTTGCAGCTTGGCTGCAGCACATGAACATAGGGCTCGCAGCAAATGCTCAGGAAGGGGAAACACAGGAACTTGCGGCATCATCTGAGGTAGCAGTTCCAAACGTTTCTGAAAAACTGACCATCGATTCAGGTTCAGAGAGACACCTGATGCAAAGCGGGTCGAACTTTGTGCAGTTGCGTGCTGCAAAAGGGAAGTGCATTCGTGTGGGAGATGGAAGCATTTTACCTGTTCGCGCAACTGGGGATGTGCGAGTTCCACTGGGAAGAAAGTCTCTGCTCTTGAAGAATGCGTGGTATGTTCCAAAGATAGTGAAGAATCTGGTTTCTGTAGCCAAGCTTACGGATGAAGGTCTGGATGTGAATTTCTCCAAACATCAATGTCAAGTTCTTGCAAATGGCCGTCCATTACTGCATTTTCCCAGATGTGGTAACCTGTTTGAGAAGGAGATAGCTTCTGGAGAAAAATCGAATGCTCCTGAGATATGCATGACTGCAGATAGCTCTCTCTGGCATTCTCGACTTGCACATGCCAATCCTCCTCTCATCAGGCGTATGCAGAAGCAGGAGCTTGTGGATGGCTTCAACGACCACGTTCTTCAAAGTTCAGCAAAATGTCACACTTGCATTCTTGGCAAGCAAACCCGTTGTACTTTCAAACCTGCTGTGACCAGAAGCACTCGTCCCTTGCAGCTCATTCACTCAGATGTTTGTGGACCCATGCGACTGTTTGCTCAAAATGGCACGAAGTATTTTGTGACATTTACAGATGATTTCTCCAGGCACACGGACGTCTTCTTTCTTCGTCACAAAGATGAAGTCTTTAGCAAATTCAAGCAATTCATAGTAGAAGCCGAAGTGAAAACTGGTCAGAGGGTTGGTTGTTTACGTACTGATTCAGGAGGGGAATACGTCAACAAGTCCTTTCAGCAGTTCTGTGCTGAACGAGGAATTCTTCATCAGCGTTCTTGCTCTCATACCCCTCAACAGAATGGAGTCTCTAAGCGCAAGAATAGGACAATCATGAACGCAGTTTGGTGCTTCCTTCAAGAATCAGGACTACCAAAATTCCTTTGGGCTGAAGCAGTTGGATCAGCTGTGCATGTTCAAAACCTTCTCCCTCATTCTCACAATCCCAACAAGATCCCAGAAGAGCTTTGGACTGGTCAAAGACAATCGGTGGTGCATCTCAGGCGTTTTGGTTGTTTAAGCTTTGCAAAAAGGGTGGATGAGCATCTTGGCAAGTTGGAGAGCAGAAGCAAGCTGGCCTTTCTTGTTGGATACGATTCCAATTCAAAAGGATATCACCTGTACCAGCCTGGTAATCATCAAATTTTTGTAAGCACTGATGTTCGTTTTGATGAAGGAACACTCTACAAAGATCATGTTCAAGAGGAAGGAAGCTCAGATCAGAACATGAACTGGACTCCAGAAGAATGGAGTTGGGATGGTGTTGAAGACGGTGATGAAGATGACGATGATCTGACAATCATCTATCCCTCATCTCCTTTAGCAGATGATCATCCAACACCAGTCTCTGAATCTTTTCTTCCTGAAGAACAGGGCGATGCTACTCATCGTGCACGAACTGGAGAAGTCGACAGGCTCACACGTGATCTACCATTCAATGTGGAGAACTATGGGCGGACATCATCTGGACGATCAAGCAAAGCACCTCATCCCAAGCAATGGTCTTTTGCAGCAACAGAAATAGCTTCTGAACCAGTCAACTTTGAGCAAGCGATTCAAGCTCCTGATGCAGATAAGTGGATTTCAGCAATGCAAGATGAGTTGAATTCTCTTGATGAGAACCAGACTTATGACTTGGTGGAAGCTCCTAAAGGACGTGAAGTTGTTGGATCACGCTGGGTGTT